GCACAGTAATAAGAGCCACAACCAAAGCCAAAACGAAAGAAAATAGTAGTTCAGTTTGGTTGACTTTAACAGGAACAGCTACAACTGCTTTACTTACTTCTATTTATTTAATTCTCACAATAATCTCATGAGGCAAGTGTTGTCCTATTTCCTGCTCTACAGATGAGGAAACTGAGGCCCACAAGCATATTTGATGCATGAAATGAGTTAGTTGATATGACATCATCCATTTCCTGCCCTTCTTGAAAAGCCTCTTTATGGCTAATGTCCTTTTCATCTCTCTTGATCCTTCTTAGGTACCTGCTACTTCATGTCCATCTCAATCCTCCTTCCCCCACACTGATCAATACCAAGTTACTGTCTGTACTCAGATATTATATAAACTCCCCTATGCCCCACAGTACTTGCACTGATATCTATCTATTTATTGGCCCTTTCCATTAGGACCTGAAGCATAATGTGATGCTAAGGAATTTTGTTTGACAATTCAAGTGATCCAAAATTACTTTTCATGAGTACTTGGCTTCCATACACAGTAGAAGACTAAGGTGTCTCTTGCTACATTCATAAGGTGACTTTTGGAAGAACCTAAGGATGGGAATTGGTGGCCAGTTCTATACCTCTAGACCTTTCGGTAGGCGAGAGGTAGAAGATTCACCCATCATCATTGACTAATGATTTCCTCAGTTTTGCCCATGAAATGAATTTCTCTCAAAAGCCCAAGAGTGCACAGTCTGTGGTGGTGAACCTGTAGAGGTCCTGGAAGAGAGGCAGGTAGGTCTGGAGAGTAAAACCCTGCACTTAACCCCATGCACCTCTTCTATTTTTTTCTTCCTGAGTTATATACTATTGTAATGAATCAGTAATCTAGTGAGTAAGTGGGTTTCCTGAGTTCTGTGACCTGCTATAGCAATTTAATCAAACCAGGAGAGAGGGTCCTTAGAACCTCTCACTTATGCTGGTTGGTCATAAGTCATAAGAAGCACAGGGAACACTCTTTGTAAATGGCACGTATCTGAATTTAAAATGGAGTCCCATTTTGAGAGACAGAGCCCTTAAACTATGAAAAGAAAATTGTCTCCAAGTCATCAAAATTGTTATGCTCTTCCCAATATCCTGCTGTTGCCAGACTGCTTATGGTGTGGGGAGGTTTCTGAGCACATTCAGTTTGGAATTGGGTCCAGATCCTTTTAAAAAGCAGAAAGCATATCGTATTCTTATGGCCTGGATCACAGTACGTGCTCAATTAATACTTGCTGGGAGGATGAAGTGAAATGACTATGAACATGAATTTTTTCATCTATTTCTTGGCCAATGTGAAAATTCCCCTTCACACACCCTAATTCATTTTTTAATAAAGCAGGGATAAATCCATAGACCAAACAGAATTGAACTTCCTTAAAAAGAGGTTATCGAACCTCTTGATAGGGAAATCAGACTATTTCTCTGTTTCTGACAAATGATGAGACAAGTTTTCAACCAGTAAGCAAGTGCTTACTGAGTGACTATTATTCACCACGCCCTCATTCACATGACATAGCATAATAATGCCTTACTCCAAACAGCACATCATATTTTAAAGGTGTTTTTACATCAATTAACTCATTTAATAATACTGTTAAGTGGATACCACAGGTACAATTCCCCCATGTGGCAGATAGGTAACTGAGACAAGAAGACCCACTCAGAACTTTTCCTGACGGCGTGCATTCTGCTTTGTCTTGATACCTCAGTGCTTCAAAAAAAAAAACCCACACAGAACAAGAAGATGCCTTTCCATGACTCTTTTTAGGATTCATTCAGCAGCCCAGGATGAATCACATAGTGACCTGTCAAGGTGGCAGGGTGATGGGGACTGTGTTCTCTCAGAGCCCTGGTCTGTCAGGAGATTTCACCTCGAATCCATTCCTTCAAGAACAGTTCTGGACGTGTGGGATAGGAACAACTTTCTTTACTCAGAAAGTTAAGAAAAATACAGCCCAGTTCCCCACAAGGGAGACTTCAGTTAAACATGGGCCAGGATCTCCTTCCATGTTGTATGGGGCAAAATACAGAAGCATAGTACAGGGAGGCAAGGCAGCATCCCCAGTCCCCAGAAATGCTCACAGCCTTGCGGGTTTCAGGGAAGCGGGCTGAAGTGTCCTTGCAGAATAGCGTTCAGGAATTAAGTAAGTGTGTTGGGGGGGAAAGCAGAGTCTGTCATCAGAAAAACAGATGTGGTGCAACATCCGGGGACCTGAACAGTGGTCCAGTTTACTATGTAAGGAGCTCTGCCCCGAGGCATGCTTCAATGTCCTGGCTAGGCAGAACTGAGAAGACATTCTCCTGAAAGGGACCGGTGGCACCAGGAGGATTTGGCTGAGCAGTCCCCCTCAGTTCTCAAAGACCTGTTGACCTATTGACCATGTTCCAGGTGAAGCACGACCTGTGTTACCTGTCAGCTGCCTCTGTGTCTAGATTGGACTGACAGCTCATGGGAGGCAGCACAAACCTGGCTCAGTGGATTCTGACTCACAGGTACCCAGTCCTGCATCCTGAGTTGTCTCTGTGTTGGTGCTGTGTGCTGACAGTAAGCCCTGTGTGGGGACACAGAGATGACCAGGTATGGTCTGCGGACTGATGGGGACACAGGCAGCAAAGAACAAGCCTGGAGTGGCAGGAATGCACCTCTCCAAGCACAGTCTAACCTCACATCACGTAGAAGATCCAGAGAGAATAGGAAGGTGCTAGTAGGGTCCCCTAGCCATGTGTGTGTGGGGGCGGGGAGAGGAGCAGGACTTGGTGGCAAGCAAGGTCCATATAGTGGTGGACACAAAATTCTACTTAAGAAATTGAAAATGACCCCTCTGGACAAGTATTGAGTGCTGGTAGTAGGTGAAGGTATATACATGATAACCTGTTAGTATTGTATTGCAAACTGTAAAGCCCGGAAGGAAAGAGAGAGAAAGAGAGAGAGAGAGACAGCGAGAGACAGGGAGACCAGAGAGACAGAGAGAGACAGAGATAGAGACAGAGACAGAGAAACAAGAAAAGTACCTGATATGGGGGCAGGCGGGGGTGGGGGGATGGAGGGGATAGGGGATGGGGTGGTGGCAGGAGGGAAACTGGGAACATTGGTGGTGGAAAATGTCCCCTGGTGAAGGGACAGGTGTTGGAACATTGTATGAGTGAAACCTAATCATGAACATTTTGTAACTGTGTATCTCATGGTTAAAATATTATTTTTATTAAATGATTAAAAGAGAAAAAAACAAAAGAAATTAGAAACATAGGTCACCTGGGCCCAGGGCACTGCTGGCCTTATCTAGTGTTCTGACTCAGTTGGGGAAAGAAATCAAACTGGTTCTCTTAAATTATTGGGCTCTCCCCCAGTCCCCACTTCATCATAAATCATTTACCCAGGGAAGCATGCAGAAGAACACCCATCATTTTCAAATCCATAGTTTCTATCACAATAAACTCAGGACAAGAACTTCAGACCCAGGGGCTAGAGTGATGGTACAGTGGGTAGAGCGCTTGGAATCCCAGGTTCGATCCCCAGAACTCCATATGGTTCCCTGAGCTTACAGGAGTAATTCCTGGGTGTAGAGCCAAGAGTAACCCCTGAGCACTCTCGGGTGTGGCCCCCAAAGCAAAACAAAGCAAACCAACCAACAAACAAAGAAGAATTTCAGGCCAAGCTTCTGAGAAGAAATCCACAAAGCTGGGTCCTGCTAAGGCCCCACGGCAGAGGACGCTCTCCTGAGAGGCTTTGCAAGAGATTCTGGGCTGCCAGAGAGAAAGAAAGGGGAAGAGAGAGAAAAAAGCAAACACGATAGAGACAGGATAAAGGCAGGGGCAGACTTGGCCGGGAGGACCGGGAGGACTTGGATCATGAGTCACAAGTGGCCCTAAGTCAGACTCACCCTCACACCCATCATCACTTTTTATTAGTAAAACTGGACCCAGCCCTCTCTCCTCCAGGAAGCCTTCCCTGACTGACTGTCACCCACATTCCTTTTGTCGCTCTTCCCTATGACAAGCTGGGTTGTGTTTGCCCTTGTCTCTGTCTCTGACTGAGTGTGCACCATCTCACCTCACAATTCTCTCACAGACAAGCCCCACCAGCCCCCCTCCCTTCATCAATGACAGGGCCATGCTCGTGCCCACCCTGCCCCTTCCCAGGTGCAGGCCTCTGTCTTCATCCACTCATTCTGTGGGGTTCTCGGCCAGTACAGGGAAACTTGAAAAGTGTGATCTATGTTCGGTCCTCCTGGCTCTTGCTGCATCCCTCATGTGTAGTGAATGAGTGACACAGACGTCACTGGGGATCCCTGAGTTCTTGTCATTTGCGGCCACGTGACATCTTATCATCTCATTCCTACTTTGAACAAACTGGCAGGCTACCGAATGTAACCTGCCCACACAGCAGAGTCTGGCAAACTCCTCGTGGCGTACCCAATATGCCAAATACCAGTAACAATGAAGGGTCTCATTCTCCTAACTCTGAAAGAGCCTTGAATATGGCACTTTTTTAAAAAAAAATCTCAGGGCTAGGATGAAGGAGATGTTACTGGGGCCTGCTCGAGGCAATCGACGAATAACAGGATGATTGTGATTGTGATTGTGATTGAGTTCTCCTCAGGAGCCCATTGCCCCAGACAGGAAACCCTCCACATTCACCCAGGCAGGGGTGCTTCTCTCCTCTCAGCCTGAGGAATTTTGGGGGCAAGAGCTGTCTCTCACCCGAAATAACTGTCTTCCCAGGTGGGGCCGGTTCTGTCTCTGGACCCAGAGCAGATGTCCAGGATCATAAACTGCCAATAGCCAGGAATGTTTACCAAGTAGCTTTATTCTTGTCGCCCCGACCATCCTTTCAGCAGGCAAGCGTGGCACCGGCACACACACACATGCACGGGCACTCAGGCACACATTCGAGCTGTCTACTCTCAGCTCTGCAGTCAGGCCACCTGTTCTGTGGGGGGCGGACCCCCAAGGGAGGAATACCGCCTGTGCTCCCTCTAGTAGAGGTTGTGCTGGGCACAGTAGTGGGCACACAGTTCGCGATGGTACTGCAGGTGGTAGTCCTTCACCAGCTTGCCCAGGATGTAGAGGAACTCCTCAAAGCAGATCTGGTCATCTTGATTCTTATCTGCTGCCCGGAACAGCTCCGCGATGTAGTAAGGCTCCTTCCGGCCCTGAGAGGCAGACAGGCTGAGAGGTCAGTGACCCACTCTCCCCCCGCCCCCCGGGCCAGGACTGAATTGGTGAAAGAAAGAGCAGGGAGCTACATGATGCTGTGGGCAGAGGACTGGCGGGTAAGATCTCACCACTCATGCCATGAAAGGATCTTGGAGTGCAACAGCATCAGGCTCAAGAGCAAAGGTTCGGGGCTGGCACGATAGCACAGCAGGTAGGGCGTTTGCCTTGCATGTGGCAGACCCAGGTTCAATTGCCGGTATCCTATATGGTACCCCGAGCACTGCCAGGAGAGATTCCTGAGTGCATGAACCAGGAGTAACTCCTGTACATCGCTGGGTGTGACCCTCCCCCCCCCCCAAAAAAAGAACAAAGGTGCAGTGGGCACCACAGCTGTCAGACCAGGGGCAGTACGGGCAGCAGGGTATACAAGTGGCCACTGTTTGCTGCTTGCCTTTCAATAGCAGCTGAGAGGAAAAAAATCAAGTAGCCTGGTGCTTCCAGACACACTTCATGCCCCGCTGCAGGAGCTGGCTGCTCAGACCTGTCTCCCAGGCTCTCTGCAGGAACGGTGACACCCAGTGCAGTCCCTCCCTGGACTTTCTGCCCTCACACAGGGAGCACCTCCAGGACAGAGTTCAAGAAGCCTGTTGCATGCACCCTTAATCCTAGGGCAGGGCCAGCAGCAAGTGGGTGAAATGTCTAGCTAGCTGGGGCACATGCTTGGAGATGCCTGTGACACTTCGTGTGTGTCCGTTAAGGAAGGTACAGTATTGGGGGAAAGGCAAAGTCCAGGGCCCTGGAGCCACTGGGGGGTCCTGGAGCAGGTGTCTCTGAGGGCCATGGTGTGGGGGAGGGCATCAGGGAGGAAAGCAGTGCCTGAAGTGTAGGAGCAGCATGAAGAGTTGGAATCAGAGCTCAGTAAGACACGGGGAGCATGGGGGCGGCGACAGGGAAACAGGTGTCAGTGAGGTCTGGCTGGGGGACACAAGGACCCCAGTGAAAATCCCTGTGGAGGTATCAGGGCAGGAAGTTGCTGCATCTGGGAGCAGCTCAGCCCTGCCAGTGGCTCCCTCCCACCCCCCTCTCTACTGCAGATGCTCCCAGAAAGTCTGCAAAGCTCACTGACTGGACAACAGCTGCCAGCTCCTGCTGTGGGCTGGGACGCCCCCTGACCAGCAGCCCCACACTGTCCCTAAAGTTATGACAGACTCCCAGTCCTCCCAGTTTCCTCTGTGACCTCACAGTAACATTCCAGTAAATGAGGGCATAATGATTTCCAATGGAACGGGGTGGGGGGGGGGGGTGCAAAGTGACCACAGGGGGCATTTTTCCTGGAATTCAATGGCCTTGTGCACTAGAAATGACATTAGAGACCCCATTTGGGCAACGGACAGTGACACACAGACCCTCCTGTGACATTTGCGGTCCCCAAGAAGCCCACTCAGGATTTGACCTGAGTGGGGAGAAAAAGCACAAGCTGGTGGGGCTAGAGCGATAGCACAGTGGGTAGGGCATTTGCCTCGCACGTGGCCGACTTGGGTTCAATTCCCAGCTTCCCATATGGTCCCCTGAGCACCGCCAGGAGTAGTTCCTGAGTGCATGATCCAGGAGTAACCCCTGTGCAGCTCCAGGTGTGACCCAAAAAGCAAAAAAAAAAAAAAAAAAAGCTCATGCTGGACTTCCAGTCTGATGCAGAGGCTCCAGCAGCCCCTGGTGGCGTGTCTACCCCTTCCCCCCACATCCCACTCCCACCCAGCAGGGGGGATCCTCCCTGGGGCTGGGGCTGGGGCTGGGGCCCAAGGGGAGGGTAGGCTGGACCCCAGGTTGAAAGGGTAGATGTGGGGTTCCATGAATGGCCAGAGGGGCTGAGGGGTGGAGACAGGTTGGGGGCCTGGTGTCTCAGGGAGCAGGAAACACCATGCTCTGGGGTTAGCGCCAAGCGCCAGGGATTAACAGTGCTTGGTCCGGAATAAGGCCAGTCAGGGAGTTTCGGAAGAGGAAAGAACAGGCCCTGCCAATGGCCTCACTCCCACCCTGTCCTCTCCCTCAGGCTCCCCGGAGGAAACTCTGGGGAGGGAACTGCACTACAGTTCTCTCATCAAAGCAGGAAGTCCCACCGCACCCTCGCTCTGCTCTCGTGCCTGGTGCTGGTGCACTCTGGATCCTCTCACTCAGAAGGGGTGAGTCTTACCCGCCACCTTCATTGACCATAGCTCAAACAAGTACCGTGGACCCTTCTTTTCCCCACTGGCCCAAGCCACGTACCAAGCTGTCCATGAAGCGGGGCACATTGTCCAGGAGCAGGGCCTTGAGCTCATCCAGGGACAGCGTCTCCACGTCCCCCTCCCGGGCAGCATAATGGTGGTAGCAGTGGATGATTTGGAAAAGGGATTCCTCCACGGGTGTGTCCATCAGAGGAGGTGGCTCCACCCAGGACAGGGGGCGACACTGGCACTGTGGGCAGGCAGCTGGGGTTAGTAGAAAGTCCAGGAGGAGAAACACCAGGCTGGTCAGGCACTTCCCTCAATGATCTTCTTTTTCAGCTCATCACCTTTCACGTCCAGTGACTCCTGCCGTTAGGGCTCTGAATGCCTGTCTGCAGGGAGGTATGGTCTGGGGACTCAGGACAAGACTCTTTCTGAGGATCACAGTTGTGATCTGTTCCCCACATCCCTTGCCATGCTTGCATGTGCACACTTGCACGCGCTCGTACACACACACACACACAAACACACACACATACACACACACACACACACATACATGCCTTCAGCTTAGCTTAGACCCTAAGTCAAGGGGCTGGAGCAATAGGATAGCAGGTAGGGCGCTTGCCTTGCACAGGGTTTGGTCCTCAGCATCCCATAGTCCCTGGAGCACTGCCAGAAGTGATTCCTGAGCACAGAGCTAGGAGCAAGCCCTGAGCATCACTCAGTGTGGCCCCCAAACAAACAAACAAACAAAAGGGCCTGAAGTAAAGAATGAGAATGAACTTAACTCTGAAGCAAGAAGCATTTAACAATGAAAAGGTTAGCATTGTTAAAGTAGGTAAGCCCAGCAGAAGGTAAGATCCCTATTCTTATAAACCAATATATTGATATATCCCATCAACACCATGTGTTGCAGTATTAACATAAAGATGTTACCCACACCCTTCAGCTCTGCTTGACGAGCCCTTCTAGTCTTCCTCTCTTCAATGGCTCCCTCCACTACCTTGTGTGCATCCCTCTTGGAAGGGGTCTGCACACCATCTTCTGGCCTCTTTATCCCTGTGTCCCTGTAGCTCTCTCAGAGCCTCTGTGCTGGGTGGGATTTTGCAGGAAAGTCGGGCACCTATCCTGGTATGGGGCACACAGGTGAAGGACTAATACCTTGCACCCTCTGCTCCCCACTCCCTGTAGAAGAGACAGGAGACCTCTAATTTTGTGAAGACAGAACTACCCTCTCAGGTCACCTGCAGATTCTCTGCTGTTACGAACCAGTCACAGAGACAGGGGGGTTCCCACAAATATGGATTTGACCAGACACTGGGTGAAACCCTTGATACATGATACCTCAGATACATGATACCTCAGAGATGTAGGCATCAATCACCCCCATTTCCTGAGGAGAAAAAGGAATCCAGAGAGGTACAGTGAAAAATCCCAAACTTAGAGTTGATCCAAACCAATGTCTTTGGCAACTGACCCTGAAGACGGGTTTTTAATGAGGGTCCCAGACTCCTTGGTGACATGGTTGGCATGTGGACCTACCCTGTGCAAGGTCTGGCCAGCAGACGCCTCTGCTCCTTGCCAGAGCCCAGTCCCACAGTCCAGCCTAGTCCCACAGTTTTCTCGAGAGAGCTGCTGACCTGCGGCTGTTAGGCGTGGCTGCTCCGGGTCCACAGCTCTGGCCAGTGGCGAGTCTTAGAGATCTCTGGGCGCTCAGGCAGGAGGCAGTGGAGTGAGCAGAGGCCCCACCACCAAGCACCACATGCTGCTGTCCTTTGTCTCTGTCCAAGACACAGCCAGTGTTGTGACTCCTCATGGGTTCATCAGCAACACAAAGGAGCCTTAATTGCATTCCTGAGCTGATGTCACAGGACACCAACTTCCTATGATTAACTCAACTGGTTTCAAGGACTCACCTTCCCTCAGAGCCTGAGGAGCTGGTCTGAGGATGTGGACCTGCAGATGGTCATGGTTTCCATCTCTGGCCTCGGAGCCCCTCCCCCAGCTCCAGGCTTGGGTGGTGTCACACAACTTGAATACATCCTCTCCAGGGTGTACTCCCTTAATTAATGAGCCCCCTGAACTCCATAACCCTTCTGCAAATTCATCCAGCAAATACTTCTGGAATATCTATAGTGTACCAGGCTCTCTCTGGGCACTGGAATGAGACTTGGGGCCAACTCAAAGAGTCGGGATGTGTGGTGGGGACAGATTCACACAGGAGTACCGTGTGCTGTGAATACTATTAATTCTGTGACATGGGGCAGGATGTCCTGGGCACCCAGAAAGAAATCGTGTTTGCCTGGAGATGGAGGAAGTGTTCCGTAGAAAGATGATATTTAAATTAAGAGAAGAGTCCATTATAAAGGGAAGCCCAGAGACCAGTCAGAGAAACCAGCACTGACAAAAGTGTTCAGTCGGCTAGGGTGGCGCTGGGAACTGGCTATGAAAGTTAGCAGGTTCAAGCAGGACTTGAGCACTTAAAGACACTGGAGAGGCAGATTGGAGAACAACTGTGAAGGCTTGTATGCCAGCACAAAACAGAGAACAGAGACTTTGTCCTGTGCACAGAAAAAAAAAAAAAAGCAAATAGTCACAGTCACGGTTCATTGGTTTGCTCGAGTGGGCCCAGTAATGTCTCCATCTTGAGACTTGTTGTTACTGTGTTTGGCATATTGAATATGTCACGGGTAGCTTGCCAGGCTTTGCCATGCGGGGGAGATACTCTTGGTAGCTTGCCGGGCTCTCCAAGAGGGGTGGAGGAATCGAACCCAGCTCGGCTGGGCCAAGGCTATAAAAATGTTTGGGTAAACATGAAAGCTGGTAACTATCTCACGGTGTTCAATAAAATTTTAAAAATAAATTAATAAATAAATGTTTGGGTGATAAACAGGAAGTAAAGCAGTAGAACAGCTTCTTTGTTTTGGGGCCACACCTGGTGTGCCCAGGGGTTACTCCTGGTTCTGTGCTCAGGAATTACTCCTGGTGAGGTTCCAAGGACCGTATGTGATGCCAGGGATTAAACCCAGTTTGGCCATGTGAAAAGCAAGTGTTCTACTTGCTGTGCTATGGCAGCCCTTTTGAAAGTTTTGTTGTAAATAATCAACTACAGTGGAAATTACCCTACCACTCTAAAGTGGACCAGAGATCTAGGCTGGCCTCCACAAAGTTGCCCCCCTGTTCTCAAGGCAGGCGTCCAATCATCCTTCATCACAAGCTCTCTTTTAACCAGGCTCTGAACCTCACCACTTTGTCCCCATTCAACTCCCTGGAAAGGGGTGCACAGGCCATTGAGTAAATATTCCAGAAGGTGGCGACAAAAGTCAGTTCTTTTAATCAGAGAATCATCTCGAAGTCTTCAAGAAAAAAAATTAGGGAGCTACTTCGGCTAAAATCTTTAGTTGACTAGAGGACCCGTCATCTATCCCACGTTTTTCTTGACAAATAAGGACTTCATCAATACACTTTTTATGTTTCTAAAATAAAAATAGAGTTCAAATTTCTTTTTTTTTCTTTTTGGGTCATATCCGGCGATGCACATGGGGTTACTCCTGGCTCTGCACTCAGGAATTACCCCTGGTGGTGCTCAGGGGACCATATGGGATGCTGGGAATAGAACCCGGGTCGGCTGCGTGCAAGGCAAATGCTCTACCCGCTGTGCTATTGCTCCAGCCCCCTAGAGTTCAAATTTCTTAAAGGTAAATCAATTTGGCAATGCCAAGTTAGAGCTGCAATGAATTTTAATAAATACCTTTGATTTGGGCTGCAGCAATGGCACAGTGGGTAGAGCATTTGCCTTGCACGCAGCCGAGCTGGGGTTCAATTCTTCCACCCCTCTCGGAGAGCCCGGCAAGTTATCTCACCCCCCTAACCCCCCACCCCCAGCAAAGCCTGGCAAGCTACCCATGACATATTCGATATGCCAAAAACAGTAACAACAAGTCTCACAATTTGTTGTGAGACGTTACTGGTGCCCGCTCGAGCAAATCAATGAACAATGGGAGGACAGTGTTACAATGCTACCTTTGATTCAACCATCATTCCCATGGGAAATTACAGGGCTGACAGGTAATAGAGTGGGTAAGGCACTGGCTTTGCACAGGTCTGACCTGGATTTGATCCCATTTGGTCCCCGAACACTGCCAGAAGTGATTTCTGAATGCAGAGTTAGGAGTAACCCCTAAACATTGCCAGGTGTGGCCCCCAAATGAACAAACAAAAAAAGCAACTGATGCAAAGCAGTTCATGGGGAGCCAGGGAGGAAGCTCAAGTGGGAGAGCACATAACTCGCACATGCGAGACCCTGAGTTTGATTTCTGGCACTGCTGAGTGTAGCTGTGCTAGTCCCTGAGCACCATGTAACCAGGTGAACACTGAGTTTTTCAGGCCAGCACTGTTAGACTGAGCATCTCTGAGAGTGCTCTCAGGTTTTTTGAGCAATACTGAGGATGGCTAAGTGCCTTTGGAAGGAATAAAGCAATACATGAAGAAGTATTCACTGTTGCAGTATCTATAGCCAAGAAAGAAAAAATAAAGTAAAAGGCTTCAGAACACCTAGTTAGCAAATCTGGGATGCCAATCGATCCATGGAAAATCACCAGATTTCTCACTTCTAAAGAATTCCATCTCTGACCCACACAGTTGGGGGACAAGTAAGGAATTCATGTTGTGCCCCTCTTCACCTGCCTTTTGCTCAGTTTGGGATTAAATGACCCCACATATGCCAGTACATGCCAGTTTCTTCCCACTCACCTGCATTTTTCTATTTCATGTTGTGATGTGAACATCTCACAATCAATGCTAGCCTGCTTATTGGCTTATTGATAAATATAACAGTGATCATTTGTATACATCAAATTTTGTTTATTAGCTCATTCTTGGTAAACATGTAAATTTCTTTAAGTCAATCCATTCTAGTAAACTCTTCCTTAATAATGAATGATATTTAGAGTTTTGCTAAAATGCTAGGGAGACAGGGGGCAGAAATGAATTGACATATCCAGCCCCTCCATTAGCCAATATGTTTTCTGACTAGACCAGAGATATCACCCTCTCCCTACAACCACATGAGATGCCCAAAAACACCAGATTCACCACAGCTACACACATGCCAGGGCCTAAACACAGGCATCACAGCTGCAGTGAGGCACCAGGTGCCAGATATAGGTGGGATTCCTGCAACCATGACTTAACTTTTTGATGGTGGAAACAGGCTAGTTCCCTAGCCATCTACTAAAGCTAATATACAACTCCCAATGCTATATTCACTATATAAAAGTTTTGTCAGTGAGATTTATGCCTTCCTGTCCCTTCAGATTGCTGTTTGCTAAACTTTAATTTCAATTTGAAGAAATCTCTTAAATGATTTTTGTAAGACAGGTCTAGTGCCGATAAACGCTCTTAGTTTTGCTTGTCAGGAAAACAAAAAGAAAAGTCCCTAATGAATTAATAGATAGGTTCTACGAAACATTTTAAAAAGAAAAAGAGAAATCCTTTACAATTTTTTTAATTAAAACATCGTGATTGACAAAGTTGTTCATAATACAGTTGTTTTAGGCACACAATGTTCCAACCCCAGTCCCACCACCTGTGTGACCTTCCCTTCACCAGTGTTTTTGGTTTCCCTCCCACCAGCTCCCCCACAAGTGTTTCCCCCAAAACATATATGTAACAAATTTATTGCATGTTGCTTGCTCCAACAAAATTTAAAGGAGTGGCAAATGGAATTATCAGATAATAAATGAATAAAAGTCAATTTGTGATGGATGATTGATTGCTAACTGATTTAACTTATATAGACAGTTACATAGTTTAATATAATGCCTATTTTCATTTTCATAAATAAGTTTTCAACCCTGGCACCTAAAATATTAAGTAAAGTAAAGTCCCTCCTGTTGATCATCGATTTGCTTGAGCGGGCCCAGTAACGTCTCCATTGGAGACTTTGTTGTTACTGTCTCTGGCATATCGAATACTCTCGGTAGCTTGCCGGGCTTTACGTTAAATTTTATTTGGACTGGAGTGATAGCACAGCGGTAGGGTGTTTGCCTTGCGCGCAGCCAGTCCGGCTGAGCCGGGTTTGATTCCTCTGCCCCTCTCAGAGAGCCCGGCAAGCTACTGAGAGTATCTTGACGCACAGCAAAGCCTGATATGCTACCTGTGATGTATTGAATATGCCAAACACAGTAACAAGTCTCACAATGGAGACATTACTGGGCCCACTTGAGCAAATCAATGAACAACAGGAGGACCGTGACCGTAAATTTTATTTTGTACTTGGTTCTCATTGTGGTAATTATCTTGTCTTATCTGTCATTAATAAAATTTAAAAACATCATTTCTACATTAATAAGTAAAAGATTGCAACAAAAATCTCTATGGATGGATTTGAAACCTGGACTTGGCTTTCTCCACAACAGGTACCATAGGGGGTGTGGCCTCTTCAGACATGGATGTGGCTTCTGTAGCAGTGGGCATGGCCTAATTTTGAGTGGTCGACTGCTCACGCAGCTGCAAATAATCTACTCATAGCCAGCAATCTCGTGTAACATCTCAGCTGCCATATCTCCACACCAACGTGAAGAAACAACACAAATCCCCACTACGTGGAGAGGATGAAGAAAAGAGTCTAGAAGCCTCAGTAGGTGCTACTCACCTAAGGGACCTCTCTGAGAAAAAATTCAGATATGAAGTAATGAAGTTGTTCAGTGAACTCAATGAAACAGTGAGACAGATATCCAGTAAACTGAAGGAGGACTTGAAAGAAACAATGGATCGGACAACTGAGAAAATCCGGAAAGAAATGAGAGCAGAAATTGGAAAGCTATGCACAAAAATGTCACGAATAAAAGATTCCATAGATGAAATATAAAACTCAGTCTGTGCCCTCAACAGTAGAATGGCCACAGCTGAAGACAGAATCAGTGAGCTGGAAGATCAGTTGCACCAAGCCAACAGGCAATAACGAACAATGGCAAGAGACCTCAAAATAGCTCTAGAGCAAATCAGAGTCCTAGAAGATTATTCCAAGAGGAGCAACATTAGAATCATTGTAGTACCAAAAGGTCAGGGAAACAATTCCAATGAAAAAGCCACAGTTAAACAAATCATTGCTGAAAAGTTCCCAGAACTGGACAATGCAGCCATTCAGATTCAAGGAGCCCAAAGGGTGCCAGCTAAAAGAGACCCTAACAAAAACACTCCAAGACATGTCATAGTTAGAATGATGGATGCTGCGGACAGAGACACAATACTGCAAGCAGCAAGGTCAAAGAAGGAAATCACATATGAAGGAGCACCCCTTAGATTCACAGCAGACCTATCAGAGGAAACCCTCAAAGCCCGAAGGCAATGGTGGGATATAGTTAAAAAAAAAAAAAACCTCACTGAAATGAATACTTCACTAAGAATTCTCTATCTGGCTAAACTCTCACTCAAACGCGAAGGAACGGTACACTATTTTGTGGGTAACAGCAGCTCAGGAACTTCATAGACTCAAAACCAAACCCAAAAGAAGGGCTAAAGGGGCTACTATAAGACAAGACAAACTCTACAAGCACAGCAGACCCTTACAGAAAGATGATACAAAACCCCATAACAATAATCTCTCTCAATGTCAATGGTCTAATTTCACCAATTAAGAGACACAGAGTGGGAAAATGGATTCAGAGACAGAACCCAACATTCAACTGCCTACAAAAAAATCATCTCAACGGTTAAAACAAACACAGACTCAAAGTTAAAGGATGGAAAACAATTCTGCAAGCAAACAGCTCCCTCAAAAAAGCTGGGGTGGCCATACTAGTATCCGACAACATAAATTTCAGGTTGAAAAAGATTAGAAGGGACAGCGAAGGCCATTTTCTATTCATCAAGGGATATGTACAACATGAAGAAATCACGCTCTGAAATGTATACGCATCTAATGAGGAAACAGCTAAATATTTAAAACAACTGCTAACAGATTTTACGGAGGACGTTGATAGCAACACAAAAGTAGCTGGAGACTTCAACATCACCTTCTCACCTCTGGATAGATCAACAAGAACTAAACTCAGCAAGAAAATATTGTCTTTGAAAGAAGAAATAGAAGAGAAAGGGCTTATAGACCTATACAGGGCTTTACACCCCAAAAAGAAAGAATACACATTCTTATCCAGTGCACACAGAACATTTTCCAAAATAGACCATGTGCTAGGACATAAAACATACCTCAATAGAATCAGGAAGATAGAAATAGTATCATCAAACTTTTCAGACCACGATGCACTGAGAATAGATGTGAATCACACACAGACACGGAGAACCAAACCAAACACCTGGAAATTAAACAACTCATTGCTGAACAACGAGTCAAGGACGAAACCAAAAGATACCTGGAAACAAATGAGAATGAAGACACGAGCTACCAGAACCTATGAGATGCAGCTAAAGCCATGTTAAGGGGAAAATTTATAGCTCTGCAAGCATTTCTCAGGAAGGAAGAAAGGGCCCACATAAACAACTTGACTTCACAGTTGAAGGTCTTAGAAAAGGATCAACAAAAGGAGCCCAAATCAGGCAGAAGGAAAGAGATCATAAAACTTAGAGCAGAGGGACCGGAGCGATAGCACAGCAGGTAGGGTGTTTGCCTTACACGCGGCCGACCTGGGTTTGATTCCCAGCATCCCATATAATTCCCCAAGAACCGCCAGGAATAATTCCTGTGTGCAGAGCCAGGAATAACCCCTGTGCATCGCTGGGTGTGACCCAAAAAGAAAAAAAACCTTAGAGCAGAAATCAATGACATGGAAACCCCCCAAAAATCCAAAAGATCAATGAAACCAAGAGCTGGTTCTTCGAGAAAATAAACAAGATAGATAAACCACTAACAAGACTCACAAAGAAAGAGAGAGAGAGACAGAGAGAGAGAGAGAGAGAACCCTAATAAACGAAATGAGAAGGGTGATATCACAACAGAAACCAAAAAATTCAAAAGATCATCAGAGACTACTTTAAAAGTCTGTATGCCACGACACAAGAGAACCTAGAAAAAATGAATAAATTCCTGGATTCATATAATCTCCCAAAGTTGAACCAAAAAGATCTGAAATACCTGAATCAACCTATTAATATCAAGGAAATTGAAACTGTAATCAAAAGTGTTCCCAAAAACAAAAGCCCAGGTCCAGATGGATTCACTAGCGAATTTTTCCAAACATTTGAAGAGGACCTATTGCCAGTTCTTCTCAAGATTTTCCAGGAAATTGAATAAACAGAAACTCTCCCAAAAAGTTTCTATGAAGCCCATATCTCTATAATACCAAAAGGAAACAAAGACATCACAAGAAAAGAAAACTACAGGCCAATATCCCTGATGAACACGGATGCATAGATTCTCAACAAAATACTAGCAAATAGAATTCAACAACTCATCAAAAAGATTATACACCATGACCAAGTGGGATTCAACCCGGGATGCAAGGAAGGTTTAACGTTTGGAAATCAATCAACATGATCCATCATATCAACAAAAGAAAAGATAAAGACCATATGATTATATCAATAGATGCAGAGAAAGCATTTGACAAGATCCAGCACCCGTTTATGATGAAAACCCTCGCCAAAATGGGTATACAGGGGCTTTCCTCAATATAGTTAAAGCCATCTACCACAAGCCTATGGCAAGCATCATCTTCAATGGGGAAAAACTGAGAGCCTTCCCTCAAGATCAGGGATGAGACAAGGATGCCCACTCTCTCCACTGATGTTCAATATACTACTGGAAGTAATTCCAATGGCAATTAGGCAAGAAAAATATAATAAGGGCATTCAGGTAGGAAAGGAAGAAGTCAAGCTCTCACTATTTGTAGATGATATAATACTACACTTAGAGAACCCTAAAACCTCTACCAAGAAACTCCTAGAAAAAATAGACTTGTATAGTGAAGTTGCAGGCTATAAAATCAATACCCAAAAGTCCATGGCTTTCCTATACTCAAATAGAGAGAAGAAACTGATATGAGAAAAACAGTCCTGTTCACAATTGTGCCCCAGAAAATCAAGTACCTAGGAATCAACTTAACTAAGGAAGTAAAAGAAAACTGTACAAAGAAAACTACAAAACCCTACTTTAGGAAATAAAAGAGGACATGAGGAAATGGAAAGATATCCCCAGCTCATGGATTGGGAGAATTAACATTGTCAAAATGGCAATATTTCCCAAAGCATTGTACAAATTCAATGCAATCCCTATAACGATACCCATGACATTCTTCAAAGAAATGGAGCAAACATTCCTGAAATTCATATGGAACATTAAGCCCCCACGAATAGCTAAAGCAATTCTTCGGAAAAAGAAAATGAGAGGAATTAACCTCCCTAACTTCAAACTCTACAACAAAACATAATAATTAAAACAGCATGGTACTGGAACAAAGGCAGAGCTGCAGACCAATGGAACAGGGTTGAATATACTGACATCTCCCCCCAAACTTATGATCATCTAATCTTTGATAAGGGAGCAAGAAATGTGAAGTGGAGCAAGGAAAGCCTCTTTAACAAATTGTGCTGGCAAAACTGGACATGCCAAAAAATGGGCTCAGATCTCAGCCTAACACCATGTATAAAAGTAAGATCAAAATGGATTAAAGACCTCAACATCAGACCAGAATCCATAAAAAAAGTACATTGAAGACAAAGTTGGCAAAACTTTCCATGACTTTTAAGCTAACGGTATCATCAAAGATGTCACACCACTGGCCAAGCAAGTAAAAACAGAGATAGACAAATGGGACTATCTTAAACTAAGAATATTCTGCACCTCAAAAGAAACAGTGACCAAAATACAAAGACAATCTACAGAATGGGAAAGGATATTCGCTGAATACACATCCGACAAGGGGTTGATATCAAGGATATACAAAGTGCTGGTTGAACTCCACGAGAAGAAAACATCCAACCCCATCAAAAAATGGGGTGACAAAATGAACAGAAACTTTCTCAAAGAAGAAATCCGAATGGCTAAAAGACACATGAGAAAATGCTCTACATCATTAATCATCAGGGAGATGCAGATCAAAACCACAATGAGATATCATTTCACACCACAGAGACTGGCCCACATCCAAAAGAACAAAAGCAACCAGTTTTGGCATGGATGTGGTGAGAAAGGGACCCTCCTTCACTGCTGGTGGGAATGCCGACTGGTTCAGCCTTTATGGAAAACAGTATGGACGATTCTCAAAAAATTAGAAATTGAGCTCCCATTTGACCCAGTAGTAACCACTCCTGGGAATGTATCCCAGAGAAGCAAAAAAGTATAGTCGAAGTGACATCTGCATTGTTTTTTTCATTGAAGCACTGTTTTTTCCAGAATCTGGAAAAAACCCAAGTGTCCGAGAACAGATGACTGGTTAAAGAAACTTTGGTACATCTATACAATGGAATACTATGTAGCTGTTAGAAAAGATGAAGTCATGAAATTTACATACAAGTGGTACTACATGGCAAGTATCATGCTAAATGAAATGAGTCAGAAAGAAAGGGATGGATATAGAAAGATTGCATTCATCTGGGGAACAGAAAGTAACAAAATAGGAGACTAACACCCAAGAAGAGCTGAGATAAGCACCAGGAGGTTTATTTCATGGCTTGGAGGCCAGCTGCACATGCTTGGGGAAAAGGCAGCTCTGATAGAGAAGGGTTTCACTCAAATGAGAGAAAGAATTCGGAGTTCCAACCTCCATCGACGATCAAGAATCAGGGATGCTGTCTTGTTTGCCAAGCATCAAAAATCAGATTTGCTGAACACATAATGAGATTTGGAGACGACCGCTAGAGTAGAACTGTTACAGACTGGATTCCACGGGATGTCAAAAGACTGCGTGGCCGCCCACCTACCAGATGGTCAGACTTCTTCATCAAGATCCTGAACGATCGGTTTGAGGCTCTTTGTGTTCCTAGAATGAACAGACGCCATTGGGCTACACTAACACCGACAGGGACAAATGGAGACGTTACTGTCACCTGCTCAAGAAAATCGATGATTAATGGAAAGTCAAGTGATCAAGTGATCGAGTGATAGAGAAGGGAGCACCAAATAAAGGGTGTTGGGAGGATCCTCCCAGGATGGGAGATGCATGCTGAAAGTGGGCTCTAGACCAAACATGATTGCCACTCAATGCCTCTTTTAGCACCCAAAAAGAGAGAGAGAACAAAAGGGAATGCCCTGCCACAGAGGCAGGGTGGGATGGGGGTGATGGTGGGGTGGGAGGGATGGTGGGATCATTGGTGGTGGAAAGTGGGTACTGGTGGAGATATGGGTACTTGATCATTGTATAACTGAAACCCAAGCACAAAAATTTGTAAGTCTACAACTGTACCTTATGGTGTTTCACTAATAAAAATTTTTTAAAAATCTTTATGGATGTAAAAAACTGATAACACATGGAACATTCAATATAACTGAGATGCTAGTTCACTAGTAAAGATGTTCTAAAATGTCTTGGCATAATTAAGAAAGGAGTAAACATGTCTTTCTTAATCTAGTACAGGGCAACCATAAGAACCATGAGTGTAGATAGAGAAGGGAGCACCAAATAAAGGTTGTTGGGAGGATTCTCCCAGGATGGGAGATGCATGCTGAAAGTAGACTATAGACCGAACATGATTTCCACTCAATGCCTCTTTTGCAAACCACAGCACCCAAAAGGAGAGAGAGAACAAAAGTGAATGCTCTGCCACAGAGGCAGGGGGATATGGGGGGTGGGAGGGATACTGGGATCAGTGGTGGTGGAAAATTGAAACCCAAACACAAAAATTTGTAAGTCTACAACTGTACCCCATGGTGTTTCACTAAAAATAAATAAATAAATAAATAAAATAAATAAATAAATAAATAAGAACTATGAGTGTGTGCTATACTCAATGCCACTTGCTGAGAAATTTGTCCTGTCCGTTAAAGAAGTTCTGATCAAAGTAGTACCCTCCCCTACCCTCCTCTCCCCTTCCTTTCTCGAATCTCCCCTCCTTTCCTCTCCCTTCCCCTCCCCGCCTGGTGCTCCCCCACCTCCATTTTGTTAGGAAAAACCCCAAATTTCATCTCCAGCTCCTTAACTTGTGCCTTTGTGTTGGACCTGTTTGCTTGTGGGACTGCTGGGGGAAGTTTCAGACCAAGGTTTATGGTGCCCTACAGCCATGCCTGTCACTACCCATACCTCAAATTGTGAGGAAACCCAAATTTCACTCCCAGTCCCCTGTGACTTGTGCCTTTGGTTTATACCATTAAGTTTGACTGGCTGCAGTTCCTGCCTGCGCCTCTTGGTCTGGAAGCTTTGTTTGGGAGGAGGGGTGGGGGTGGGGAGGGAGGCACCCAATGGGTCCCCTCCCTCCCTTCCTTCCTTCCTTCCTTCCTTCCTTCCTTCCTTCCTTCCTTCCTTCCTTCCTTCCTTCTTTTCTTTCCTTCCTTCCTCTCTTTCTTTTCTCTCTCTCCCCCCTCTCCCCCTTCTCTCCTCTCCTCTCCCTCTACTTCCCTTCTCCTTCTCTTCCCTTCTCTCACAAGTGAAGGGTTCACTCTTTCAAGACTAAGCCCCTATCTTCCCTTGCCAATCTCAAGTCTGGGGTGAGGGTTTCACTAGAATTTTCAGTGAAGGGCTTCACTGAGTTCAATAGGGCTTCAACTGGAGCCCTTCTTGGGTTCAATTAATTTGCCAAAGCAGTTCACAGAACTCAAAGAATATTTTATTTATGAGATCACTGGTTTATTATAAAAGGACAAAATTCAGGAAGTCAGAAAAACATGCATGAGGAAGGCACAATATTCACCCCAAATCTCTTATGTTTTACAACCTAGAAACTCTCTGAACCAAACCGTGATGGAAGTTTTGGAGACTTCATTATATATAGGTATGATCAATAATCTTTGGTCATTGGAGACTCATTGCACTTCTTCTCTGCCTTGAGAATTGGAAGGAAGACGGAATAAAACTCCCAATCCTATAAGCAGGTGGTTGCTTCTCTGGCAGCCAGCCCCAATCCTTAAGTGAGTTCCAAAAGATGTCTTACTAACAGAGCAAATGAAACCATAATCACTTAGGAAAACATTAAGGAGCTCAGACTCAGAAACAGGAAAACCGAGTTTAAATCACATCAACCTATAACAAAGCACTTAGAATAGTGCCTAGAACAGAACAAACCTAAGTTTTAATCAATCTGATAAAAGTTGTAATTAAGACTGTCTTTCTCTATGTTTAAATAGGATACATTTGTAGAATTGAAAACATGGTTAGCTAGAGCCAAACTGCCTTCCATTCTAGTTGCACCAATTACTCTCCCTCCTCTCCCTTCACTTCCCTTCCCCTTCTCTTCCCTTCTCTCACAAGTGAAGGGTTCACTCTTTCAAGACTAAGCCCCTATCTTCCGTTGCTAATCTCAAGTCTGAGGTGAGGGTTTCACTAGAATTCACTAATAGTGTAAATACTCATGTGTCTTATCCCTGAAGGGAGACAGACTGAGGTTCCTGTAGGGAGGACCAGTAATCTTTATTGTGGACCAGGAATAAGATTGACTCTTGGTTTTCCAAACTGCTGGCTAACATTGCTGCATTCCACCCAAACAGCTCCACCTAATTTCGCCTGGGCCACAGTCCAAAATTCCTTCAAAAGCAGAAACCCTGACTTTAGACCAAATTCAGAGAGGAAGTGGGTTCCAGCCTCACTGAAAAGGCAATGATGAGTTTTTCTTTATAACTTGAGAATAGATCACGGAATCTGAGTCTGCGGAAGAGTTTGCAGTCAAGTGAGGGCTCTTTTTTTCTGAAACTTTGAAAGTCATTTTGGCATAGGTGAGTGCCTCCTGGGAAGATGAAGGCTGTGGAGAAAATAAGAGGAATACATGAATAAAAAAATGAATTTGAGGAAGGTATATCTTTGCAAGCAATTTGAAATCACGGGTTGGGGAAGACCCCAAGAGATCTGAGGACCCTCTTCATGGACTTTCTTATCCAGGGCCAAGAGAGTATTTAGCTCCAATATGTGATCAGAGCATAGAAGGACTGCTGCAGGGGACCTTGAAGGCCCCAGAAGTCTTGGAGTCTTCAAGAGAAGACTCTTCTCTTCGAGAGAAGCCCCTGGGAGTCTTACCTTGTCTGGAATTTCTGAGTAGGGATCTTGCTGAGGTTCCAGGGCTTGGGAGTGAGAGTGACCTGCCAGAGCACCAGGAAGAAGAGGCACTGCTCTCAGCAAAGGACCCGAGAGGACTCAAATTGCTCCCTTTCATGCTGGGTGAAGGAATGGGAAGGGGAGGAGGTGTTGGGGATGGAGAAAGAGGGCCACTGAAGGTAGGCAGAGGGGCTTGAGGAAATGAAGGGTTCTAAGTCCTTGTCTGCGTTGGGTAAACTCTGCAGCTTTTCCACCCCACTCCTATTATTCACTCAAACCTAGCTCTCTGCAAAACCCTGGAGGGAAAAGTGCCAGTCACCTCTTGTATACCACTTACGCTTTCTGTAGCTCTTCAAGAAGAGGAAGACAAGAGCCAGGAGCAGCAGCGTCAGTAGAACCCCAGCAAAAAAGGCTAAGATCAAATGTTCAAGGTTGTTCTGGCTAAGAAAAAGAGGAAAGGATTGGAAGCTCTTTCCCAGAGGAAAAGGGGCAGCATCTTATTCCAAATGGGCCAATGCAGGCATTTTCTGCTTTGTCAACTTGCTTTCATCCAATGGCTTTTGTCTTTGTGCTTCTCAAGTTCCAGATACATTTGAGACCTCCAGAAAAGCTGTGGGCTTTTGTGTCTCTCCAAAATTGTTCATAGGCTACCCATTTGCCAGCTATCAACACATTTCATCAATAAGCATAGGAGTTTGTGGCTCTTTTAAAACTTGAGGAAACCCAGCCTAAGAACCACATTCTTGGAGCCAGAGAGATAGTACAGGGAAGGTGGGGGTAAGGCCTTGTCTGCAGCCAACTCTGGCTCCTCCCCAGCACCCCATATGGTCTCCTGAGAACAGACCCAGGAGCAAACCCTAAGTGTAAAATCTTATCACGCCGAAGATTGTGTGTTCACGGGCTCACTGGATGGCTCTTTCTCACTGCCTGCATTTGGTACTCTTGAGCCCTGTGTATGCCTGGATCAGGACGGCTGTTCTTTCTCTCAAGCTTGAGCCCCTCTCGCTCTGACTCTCTCTTCTCCGAGCTTACAGTCTTAGTTTATATAGCAATCACGTAAGGCAGTGACATAAAGGTGGGTTGAATATTGACAAATCAACAAAGAGAGGTAAGACCACTCCTCCAGGAGATTAAGGATAAAATCTCATCTAAAGAGATTACTCCAGATTACTAGGAGATCCGCTCAAGGGTGGGATCCCAACAAGGGTGTGTTCTTCCCTCAGTTAGTAATCTACTTAAATAGTTGTAATAAATCTACTTCTAATATTTCTAGCAATGTCATTCTGTATGACCACAGTAAGAGATAAAAAACTTGGTTTGTTTCTTCCTGAGAACATCTCACTATACATTCCGCAGTCCTCAGGCCAGGTTAATCTTCCTAGCTCCAGCAGGGTCCTAGTGTCCTCGTTACTTACTTTTGTATCATGACAGCATTTGCCCATGATCATGCCCTCAACTTTTAGTTGAGTATCGTGGCGCTTTGGCCTGGCCCATTTTGATGCCAGGGTAACTCACCGCTTGCCCTGGGTCCATTCAGTTCCTCGTCGGGACCCTGCTTTTGGGGTGCTAGGAACTAAGGGCAACTGAGTCAAGAAATCAGATGCCCAGGAGTAAATATTATTCGGAGTCAATCAACTCCCAAGTTACAAAGCATAATATTAACGGTCTTCCTGTGTCCATACAGAAAGGATATTGCTTACAATACAAGTTCAGTGTCCTTAGATGGGTGTGACCCGATAAACCTAAGCTACCTGAGAAAGGACAAAACAGTGTTATCTTACACCTAAGCATAGCTGGTATGACCCAAACCCATTCCCATCCACCCCCCAAAAGAACCATATTTCCAAGAATAAAAATTGTTTTACTCCTAAGGATGGGGGAAGAGGATGGGGAGGAATACTCCGGTGGAGAGTGCAGTATGCATAAAACTCCATCATGAATAGTATTGTTAATAATGGTACCAAATTTTTTTTTCTTTTCAAAAAAGAATTTAGTAGTTCTGTTTCTGGTTCCCTCTCCCCAGACCTCTCTCCCCAGATCCTCAGGGCATAAAATCAAACACCATGTGACACAAGCTAAGGGGGGAGGAAGCACCCACTCACATTGGACAGGCCTCAGAGCACCGAACAGTGGTCACAGGGTGGTGGGATACAGGGGCCACTGTAGAGTGTGTGCTGTGTTTCTCTAGGAGAGAACATGCAGGAGGTTAGTATATCTGCCAGTCTATACCAATCCGTCCAGCTCAGGTGGCCAAGATAGTGCACCCTAACCAAGCTAGCAATGGAGGCTATGATGCTGACCACAGTTCTGCAAAGAAGAGGATCTGGCTTCTTTGAGTGTGGTCCTTAGACAGAAAAATGGGAACTGCAGAGCTGGACATGTGGCTTATGGGGTGAGCACATGACTTCCATGTGTGGGGCCCTGAGTTTGAGCTGCAGCACCATGAGAAAAAAAATTAGAACTGAAACTTCAGTTACATAAGAGAAAGAAGAGGCTACTGCTTGCAGCTCCTCCTGTACTTAAAAAAAAAAAATAGTGCCACATCACCAGGGCCACTGGTGCTCATGATGTCCGAAGTGCTGAGATTAAACCCAGATTGTGCACGATCCCTGCTCCCATGTCTTCCTTTGATAAAACTGTGAGTCTCCCTCGGCAACTCTAAGGGGACTCCCGGGAAATGAGCTCCCTCTTATTAAAACAGAATCTGAAAGTGAAAACCCAGAACTAGTACTGCCCAGTGGCTTTGGGGTTCGCACTTGGACATTGCTGTGCTATTACTGTTTGCTCCTGTGCTCACAGGGCACCACTGCCAGAAACAGAAGGCAATGGGGCAGTAAGAGAAGTGGACCCGGCTCCTATAAGCCACTAATACTGAGCACAGAGAGATCCTTCACTCAAACTCAGATGCTCAGACTGTTCTTACTGATTTCCCTTTTTGCTTTTCTCGGCACTTGATTTGTCCTCATAGTCAAATCTGACATTTCTAACTCCAGAAATGTCCCGTTATGACCCAAATGTGAGCACAGTTTCCAGTGACCTTAGTTCAATTGAGCTCAGCAGTAAAGCAATCCGTGGTTTCTATCCTGAGCTTACCGTGAGTGGTTGTAGATTTTGAAATCATTCCACCCATGTTATCTTCTCCTGAGGGGGAAAAATATGGGGAAGGGAAGGGCAGTTAGAGAGGTTAGAAAGGAGAAACGATGAAACTGCTCTCTTCTGTTGTTCTTTTTTTTCTTTTGGGGTCACACCTGGTGATGCTCAGGGGTTACTCCTGGTTCTGTGCTCAGGAATTACTCCTGGCGGTGCTGTGGGGACCATATGGGATGCCGAGGAACAAACCCGGGTTGGCCATGTGCAAGGCAAAGGCCCTACCCACTGTACTGTCGCTCTGGCCCCTGAAACTGTTATCTTAATATAAGAACAATAGCAGTAACAAGGAGAGAGGGGCAAATCATGGGTTGGTTCTCTTGCGAGATTGAACTTGACCTGGAGTGATCTCTGCAGTTTCAAAAGCCAGTTCTCTGCTTTGAAGGCCTAGAAATAAGCTCTTGTCAGAACTTCAGTTTCACTCCCATACAGTTTTTACTCTTTTTTTTTCTGTTTTTATTGAGTGCTAAGTAGACATATTGCACTGCATCTATTTAAGGCATATAACATAGTGATTTAATAAATTCATACATTGTGAGCTCATTGCCTTACTCAGTTTAGTTAATCTTCATCACACTGCATAGATTTCTTTTTCCTTGCTGTTTCCTTGTGATGAGAATTTTAAGATGTACACTTGACAACTTTCTCATATATAATAATCACTTTGTTAATACTGTACATTCCACCCTCTGGATGTTACTTCTCTTAAAATTAGAGTTTTTTACCTTTTGATCTCATATACCCATTTTTCTCACCCTTGACCACAACCCCCACCTCTAGCTATGTTCATCTATTCTATGTAACTTTGAGCTTGGAAGTACTACATTTAAGCCAATTATTTGTTGATTGTGCGTTTTTAAAGTTACCTGAGATACTTCTTAATGTTGCCCTAAAAAAATTTTAGGGTAACCGGAGAGATAGTACAGTGGGCAGGGTTCTTAACTTGCATGTGGCCCACCCAGGTTCGATCTGTGGAAGTCCATATAGTACCCTGAGAACAGAGAGACCTCCATCCCCAACATTGTAGAAGCAGCACAAAGAATTTTGGGGTCTGCTTCATGTTCTGCACATGGGGGTAACTTGTCTAGACCACACAGGCCATCAACTACTTATGTGCTTATTTGCCCAGCTCTGAGAATTGAATCAATTTCTAAGTCCTTGGGCCTGATAGAGGGGTGGGGAAAGAAGGAAACCTTATTTTCCTACACCAATTACACCAATACTAGCACTGTTGTCATGGGTCTTGCAATTGACTGTCCTTTTTTGTGTGTGTTTTTTTTTTGGGTCACACCTGGCGATGCACAGGGGTTACTCCTGGCTCATGCACTCAGGAATTACTCCTTGTGGTGCTTGGGGGACCATATGGGATGCTGGGAATCGAACCCGGGTTGGCCATGTGCAAGGCAAACGCCCTACTCACTGTGTTATCGTTCCAACTCCGACAGTTCTCTTTAAGATCATGCAAATGCAGCACACACACAAAAAAAGATCCTAAAAGAGAAATCCTGTGAGAATTCTTAACCATGAGAATAGGAAGTGACTCCATTATTGTGGGATCAGCAATAATAGTGTCTCTAGCACTTTTGCTTCCACTGCTCATTTGTCAGCAGTGGTCTTTGTAGAACACTATGAAATATTTGTGGATAGTATTTTTCTATTAAAGTATGTGTTTGCACTATTCTATGAGCTTTTGCTAAGGGACAAGTGAAAAAGAGAATCACATATCTTTTTTAAGAAAATCAACTCTTAATCTTCATATAAGTATCTCTGAATTTACTACCCAAAATGTCACCAAAGAAATGTCTCCAAAGCCACCTTTTAAAAAGTTGTGCTATACGCTCGGAGCAGAAAAGTGAATGGACTATGTGTTAAACTGCGCCATCATGCCTGCCCAGAGGGGAAAGGGTGTTGCCCCATTCGCCCTCTCCTCTCTGGAAAGAAAGATGGCGGCTGCATGGGAGCCTTGTGGACAGCAGGTTTGAGCCGGGGGTCGGGGGCGGCAGGGACCTCATGGGAAGGGGGGCGTTCTGGTCCGTCCTTCACACCTGACCGAGGTCACCAGCTGCCCCCCACGAGCGGCTCTCCGGCACGGCCACAACTCCAGAGCACAGAAACCAATCTCTTAACTATCTAACTTTTAATAGAAATACTTCCAGGGTTAATAAGTAAAATAGCAGAAATCCAAAACCGCGCGGCCGCTATTGCGGCCGCGCAACATCATTTAACTCTTGAACCCAGCTGTAGAAAGCAAATCATTTCACAACACTTTTTCAGTATGTCTGATTTGGGGGGGGGGGTTGTAAACTCTAAATAATAATGGTGCATCCTTTATCAAAACAATGAATCTAGTCAAAGTAGATAGAGTGTTAACTAGAACTCATCTGCCTCACAGGAATTGGGAGGGGTGGGAGGTGGGGTTCTATTGGGGATCGCGGTTAAAAATAAGTATTGGTAAAGGGAAATGTGTTTGATATTTACATGACTGAGACCTAAACATGAAAGCTCTGTAACTTTTCCCACAGTGATTCAATAAATAAATAAATTAAAAAAATAAATAAATAAAAAGTTGTTCTATGGTATAGTATATATTATACTGCATATTTGAAAGTTGTCAGGAGAGTAGATCTTAAAAGTTCTAAAGACAGGGAGAAAAATTTATAAATCTTTATGGTATTAATACTTATTAGATATAGAAACATCAAATCATTATGCTGTACACCTGATGTCAATTATATCTCAATACATACACAAATGTTGGACTATACAGTTACAACCTGTCACAGGCTAATAGACACTTGGAAATCCAAGCAAAACCAAGCAGGAAACACATTTTTCTTTGAAATAACAATCCAAATATTTGACTGAATTATAGATTTAAATAGAAAGTTCTATATATATCTTTCCATCTTTTATCCCAACTGGACCTGGCTAATTTTACCCATATTTATAAAATCCATCAATATATGCATCAATTCAATTACTGCCCTTCCCCACAGCCTCATAAAATCATAAAATTTTAAACAGCTAACAAATAAGCGCATTCTCTTTTGGTGAATTGATTGTTTCATTTAGATTAAAAGCATTGGTTTACCTTTTAAGAAAGAGTCCGCTCATCAGATACAGTTGCCCACAACTGAACTTCTCATTTGTTTCCTCTACTATGCCTATGGTTTAGAAATGATGAAATTATCACGGCTACATGCCACAAAGATATGTGTCCAAATTGAGAACTGCCTCTTCCCCATGTGGGGAGGAACTTAGTTAGGACTAAGTATGTTTTAAATTTTCAAAATTTCAATGCAGGTCAACACTGCATTTTTAATCCCATAATCAGAAGCGTCATTTGTATCTTATGATTTATGAATACCAAAACAAGGGTAAATAAAAAATAAAAATAAAGGCCCTCCCGTTGATCGTCGATTTGCTCGAGCGGGCCCAGTAACGTCTCCATTGGAGACTTTGTTGTTACTGTGTCTGGCATATCAAATACTCTCAGTAGCTTGCCGGGCTCTCTGAGAGGGGCGAGGAATCGAACTCGGGTCGGCCATGTTGGCCGCGTGTAAGGCGAACGCCCTACCCGCTGTGCTATAAGGAAAATTTATTTTAAATTGCTTATTCTTCTCTTTTTTTGTGTGTCCTCCACCTTCCAGTAGGTAGGGGTCACACCCAACAACTGGCCCCCTGGCGCCGTGTAATCCCATCAACGGCCAAGATCCAGAGGCTATAAAACCCAGCTCCCGGAAGTGGGGTAGGGGCACATCCCATAATATAGAGGACAATGTGATACCAGATATAAAACCTGGGACTTTGATGGGAGGAGGATGGGGAGTTAGGCCACTCAGTACTGTGATCTGGGGTTACTATTGACTCTTACTCAAGAGTCACTCCTGGAGACTAACACCCAAGAATAGTAGAGATAAGTACCAGAAGGATCACTCCACAGCTTAGAAGCTGACCTCACATTCTGGGGAAAAGGCAGCTCAGATAGAGAAGGGACCACCAAATAAATGGTGCTAGGAGTACCTACTCAGGATAGGAGAGGCGGGCTGAAAGTAGACTACAGACCAAACATGATGGCCACTTAATACCTCTATTGCAAACCACAACACTCAAAAAGAGAGCGAAAGAGCAAGAGGGAATGCCCTGCCACAAAGGCGGGGTAGGGTAGAGGGGACGGGGTGGGAGTGGTGGGAGGGATGCTGGGACCATTGGTGGTGGGAAATGGGCACTGGTGGACGGATGGGTACTCCTATGACTGAAACGGAAGCACGAAAGTTTGTAAGCCCATAACTGTACCTCACGATGATTCGCTAAAAAAAAAAAAAAAAAGTCAGTCCTAGAGATGCTCAGGGGACTATATGCTGTGCCAGGGATTGAATCAGAGTTTTTCAATATTCCTGATGAAGACTTCAAAGTGAAAATAAAGGATATTCACTGAATTGAGAAAAACAATAGAGGTGGGCTCCAATCAAGAGAAGTATATGAGATCTTTGAAGCGTTCAGCATAAGAGAAAGAACACATGGAGGGTGCGGGATCCCGGAGGAAAAAAAAAAAGAAAAAACAGGTTCCAAAAAGAGCCGAGATCACCCGCAAGTTCCAGATGGAGTAGGTGCCGCATCCCACCTCCCCCAGATGGAACCCCGGTGACCAGAAGCCTCTACAAACACAGCTCGAGTATGCGGGAACGAGGACTTTTTCTCAAATCTGCCGGACTACACCTCCCAGGTAACCTCTGATTCTGGAAGTCACGCCCACAACCCGCCCCCCAGCGCCATCTTTGAAGCGTTCAGCATAAGGGAAGGAACACATGGAGGGTGCGGGATCCCAGAGGGAAAAAAAAAAGAAAAAACAGGTTCCAAAAAGAGCCGAGATCACCCGCAAGTTCCAGATGGAGTAGGTGCCGCATCCCGCCTCCCCCAGACGGAACCCCGGTGACCAGAAGCCTCTACAAACACAGCTCGAGTATGCGGGAACGAGGACATCTCTCTGTATACAAAGTGATCAATGAGAAGTAAACCACCCAATCTTTCTCTCTGAAAGTCAGAGTTAAGTTTGGAGCACGGCCACAGCTCCAGAAACACAAGGACTTAATGCAGAACCCAGCAGCTTAGAGCAGAAAAGCGAACGGACGATGAGTTAACCCAGGCCATCATTTCTGCCCAGAGGGGAAAGGGTGTTGCCCCATTCGCCCTCTCTTCTCTGGAAAGAAGGATGGCGGCCGCATGGGAGCCTTGTGGACAGCAGGTATGAGCCGGGGGTGTGGGGGGCGACTAAAACCTCACGAGAAGGGGGGCGTTCTAGTCCGTCCTTCACGCCCTACCGAGGTCAACAGTTGCCCCCCACGAGCGGCTCCCCAGCACGGCCACAGTCCCAGAAGCACAAGGACTTAATGCAGAACCCGGCAGCTTGGAGCAGAAAAGTGAAAGGACTATGCGTTAATCCAGGCCATCAAGTCTGCCAGAGGGGAAAGGGTGTTGCCCCATTCGCCCTCTCTTCTCTGGAAAGAAGGATGGCGGCCGCATGGGAGCCTTGTGGACAGCAGGTATGAGCCGGGGGTGTGGGGGCGACTAAAACCTCATGGGAAGGGGGGCGTTCCGGTCCGTCCTTCACGCCCTACCGAGGTCACCAGTTGCCCCCCACGAGCGGCTCTCCAGCACGGCCACAGCCCCAGAAGCACAAGGGCTTAATGCAGAACCCAGCAGCTTGGAGCAGAAAAGTGAAAGGACTATGCGTTAATCCAGGCAATCATTTCTGCCCAGAGGGGAAAGGGTGTTGCTCCCTTCCGCCCTCCTCCCTCTGGAAAGAAAGATGGCGGCCATATGGGAACCTTGTGGACAGCAGGTATGAGCCGGGGGTGTGGGGGCGACTAAAACCTCATGGGAAGGGGGGCGTTCCGGTCCGTCCTTCACGCCCTACCGAGGTCACCGGTTGCCCCCCACGAGCGGCTCCCCAGCACAGCCACGGCCCCAGAAGCACAAGGACTTAATGCAGAACCCAGCAGCTTGGAGCAGAAAAGTGAACGGACTATGCATTGATCCAGGCCATCAAGTCTGCCGGAGGGGAAAGGGTGTTGCCCCATTCGCCCTCTCCTCTCTGGAAAGAAAGATGGCGGCCACATGGGAGCCTTGTGGACAGCAGGTATGAGCCGGGGGAGTGGGGGCGACTAAAACCCCATGGGTCGGGGGGCGTTCCGGTCTGTCCCTCACGCCCTACCGAGGTCACCAGTCGCCCCCCGCGAGCGGCTCTCCAGCACGACCATGGCCCCAGAAGCACAAGGACTTAATGCAGAACCCAGCAGCTTGGAGCAGAAAAGTGAACGGACTATGCGTTGATCCAGCCCATCAAGTCTGCCGGAGGGGAAAGGGTGTTGCCCCATTCGCCCTCTCCTCTCTGGAAAGAAAGATGGCGGCCACATGGGAGCCTTGTGGACAGCAGGTATGAGCCGGGAGTGTGGGGGCGACTAAAACCTCATGGGAAGGGGGGCGTTTCGCTCCGCCCTTCACGCCCTACCGAGGCCACCGGTTGCCCCCCATGAGCGGCTCTCCAGCACGGCCACGACTCCAGAACACAGAAACCAATTTCTTAACTATCTGACTTTCAGTAGAAATACTTTCAGGGTCAATAGGTAAAATAGCAGAAATCCAAAACCAACATTTAATTCTTGAACCCAGCTGTAGAAAGCAAATCACTTCACAATGCTTTTTCAGCATGTCTGATTGGGGGGGGGGGGGTAAACTCTAAATAATAGTGGTGAATCTTTTATTGAAACAATGAATCTAATCAAAGCAGATAGAGTGTTAACTAGAATTCATCTGCCTCACAGGGACGGGGAGGGGTGGGGGGTGGGGTTTTATTGGGGTTCTTCATGGTAAAAAATAAGTATTGGTAAAGGGAAATGTGTTTGATATTTGCATGACTGAGACATAAACCTGAAAGCTTTGTAACCTTTCCCACAGTGATTCAATAAATAAAAATTAAAAAAAAGAGAAGTATATGAAAATTTCTATCAGAAATCATTATACAACATAGTAGACTACACTAAAAAAGCACAGAAGAGGGACTTGACAGCAGAATAACAGAAGCTGAGGGATGAGATATTGTGCCTGAGTGTGTGTAAAAGAAGCTACCCAAAAACAACAGCAGAGGTGGGTGGGGACAAGAGAAGGATCTGAGACTGCTCCCACAGCACCCCCACGCACGGAACACAGAGGCCTGCATGAGTCCTTGTTGAGAAATCCACAGGACTTTTGCCAATGTGGAACATAGGGCTGCAGTAGATTTCAGAGCTAAGCAATACATCAGGAAGGGTTGAAGTGGTGAAGACTCAACATCTACCTCTAAGAAATAACCAGAGTACGAAGTGATACAAGGGAAAATTCTGCCCTTTTTGGAGAGAGGTTTTGGGGCACACTCAGCTGTGCTCAGGGCTCACTCCTGGCTCTGTGTAGAGACATCACTCATGGAGGGGCTTGGGGACAGTGTGTAGTGCTTGGGATTGAACCTGGGTCAGGCATATACAAAGCAAGTGCCCTCCTCACTGTACTATATCTCAGGCCCCCTAATTCTGACCATTTTAAACAAAGGATAGAGCAGCATTGAGTAGAGAAACATCTGCCTTCACAAAACCAAACAAACAATAAAAGCAAGTCACTTTTTTTTTTATAATTTATTTCTTTATTGAATCACTGTGGGAAAAGTTACAGAGCTTTCGGGTTTAGGTCTCAGTCATGTAAGTATAAAACACATTTCCCTTTACCAATACTTATTTTTAACCGTGAACCCCAATAGAACCCCACCTCCCACCCCTCCCAATTCCTGTGTGGCAGATGAGTTCTAGTTAATACTCTATCTACTTTGACTGGATACATTGTTTCGATAGAAGATGCACAATTATTGTTTAGAGTTTATGACCCCCCCCTCAATCAGATATGCTGAAACAGCGTTGTGAAATGATTTGCTTTCTACAGCTTGGTTTAAGAATAAAATGATGTCGCGCGGCCGCAATAGCGGCCGTGTGGTTTTGGATTTCTGCTGTTTTACTTATTAACCCTGGAAGTATTTCTATTAAAAGTTAGATAGTTAAGAGATTGGTTTCTGTGCTCTGGGGCCGTGGCCGTGCCGGAGAGCCGCTCGTGGGGGGCAGCTGGTGAC